GCCGCGTTCATAGTTCGCGACTCGGGAGATTAGGATAGTAGGCGACAGGATATTAGGATAGTAGTAGAGTAGGAGATTGCGCTGACAAGATTAGATACGTATCGATTGAAATCGCTGGAGAGTAGTAGAGGCGTTTCAAGCGAATTGATCAATACGTATCTAATCCTGTCAGCTTTCAGTGTCGCGTACTATCCTAATTCCGGAGTCGCGAACTATGGACGTGGCCTTAGGCGAATAAGCGCTTAATCTACTGAGGAAAATATATTTAACCAAGAGGCGTGTAGGCGAATAGGCGATTTGGCCAGTAGGCGAACGAGTAAATACGCCTCCGTAGATTAGGATAGTAGGAGAGTAGGATAGTATAGTAGAGTAGGAGATTGCGCTGACAAGATTGGATACGTATCGATTGAAATCGCTGGAGAGTAGTAGATTGGGCGACTTCGAATAGATCAATACATATCTAATCTTGTCAGCGCACTATCCTAATCTACTACTATCCTAATCTACTACTGTCTTAATCTCCCCTCAATACATATCTTGGCGCTCATGTCCTTGGGGGGGGGGACATCCCAGTGAGTGAGCCAATTACTGTACTTGGGACTGAGCCTTAGGCAGGGGAAGGGATTTTATGGGAATGCAAGCAATATGTGTGCTCCCTGGCGTTTCTCCCCTCTCCTGGGCTTAGTCCCAGTGTCACCTGCCATCGGCCTTGTTGTTGATGTCCCCCCCCCCCCAAGGACATGAGCGCCCATATCTTTTTCGTCGCGTACTATCCTAACCTTCGGAGTCGCGAACTATGAACATTCCTAGGACTCCTATCGCATCAGACAACGACCAGTACGTACCAGGGTGGCCAAAAAGGGAGACACTCCTCTTCACAACTGAAACAGCATTAATCGCATTTTGTTCAACATAAACGACTGAAAAGTTGAAAAGCACATAACGTCACGACGGTGACAGAGCGACGACTGCCTTTTTGTCTCGATTATCCCGTTCTCCTATATCTCTCACTGACTCACTGCTTTTCAGCATGTGGCGTCTACTGACCGCTTGGCTGTTCCTGCTGGGTTCTGCATCTGGAAACGAGGAGTTTGAGAAGGATGGCGACGTCTATGTGCTGACCAATAAGACCTTTGATGACTTCGTTAAGGCGACACCGACATTTCTTGCATTATTCTATGCACCAAGGTGAGCCACCAAGTCCAATCAATCATTGTGTTGGTCGAAGACTACTTCTTGCTCCTGGCGCTCGCCTTAGGATACTGCTTTCGTTTTTTTAGGTTTGTACGCTCGTTAGCGAAGTCCGCTTTTGATGTGCATGGCGCACTTCCCGATTAAAATGGATGTTTGACCGATTTTCAAGTCTTGTGGAAAGTACGGTCAGCGCTGTTCTCGGGGTCTAGCCGCTGTGGATTTTAGGACACTGTCGTAATTCGCGCGAAAAACATGAGCGTATCATCTAAGACGGACATCGCGCATCTTGTTGAAAATCGGGGCCACACCGAATCGCTATCTGATGACTTCCTTTAATGTGGTCTAATCGTGTGACTGAGGCTGTTCAAAGATCTATTGTCTCATTGCCATTGAGACGGAGATTCGATCTATTTCGTAGTCAGCATTAGCACCGTAATAGCGCGGGCGGTAACGGTTCTATAAGATCTTGTGGTATAGTACTTAGAGTTGGCATGTTTTTTTATCGCAAAGGGCGCTAGTCAATCGAGCGCCATTTCGACCAGGCTGCATTCATGCGGGAATTCGCTTCAAAGGCCAGGCGGCCGTCAGACGAAATCTGCAATTGCTGATCCAAGATACTTGAATGATGTTGTACGTGTGAGCTCAGTACCATTGATCTTAATAGAGCCTGGCTCACTCGAATCGGTGGTCAAGTACTCAGTCTTTTTGACGTTCAACCTGAGCCCGAACATAGCCAGACGGTCGGACCAGGTTTGCACCTGTTGCTCGAGCGTGCTTTTATCTTCGCTAGCGAGCATCACGTCATCAGCATAAAGAAGCGTCCATGGAGCCGGCTTCTGAAGATCTTTGAAATGGCATCCATGACGACAACAAATAGGAGTGGGGATAACGCAGAGCCTTGGTGTACCCCGACAGAGATGGGAAAATCCATCGATGTGCCTGCTGCCGTTTGCACTCGGCTCTTTGGACTCGAGTAAGGATGCGCACCCACTCAATAAGCTCTTCGGGAACGCCATGCTGTCGTAAGGCATACCATATAACGTCACGCGGAACGCGATCGAAAGCCTTCTCCAAGTCTAGGAAGGCAAAATGCACCGGCTTTTGTTTTTCGCGATGTTTTCTAGCAGAAGGCGAGCGGCGTGTATGGCATCGATGGTGCTGCAAGCCAGCCACAAAACCACACTGGTTGGTGGTCAGCTCGACGATGTCCCGGATACGACTGTCTACAATTCGCTCAAAGATTTTCATGCTGTGCGAGAGCAGGCGAATTGGACGGTAGCTAGTGCAGTCTCCAGGACTGCCCTTTTCTTCCAGATGGGAATCGTCGTGCTTTGTTGCCAGCTCTCAGGCACCTTCTTCTCTGCAACGATCTGGTTGAAGAACTCCGTCAACCATTCTGCAGGATTCCAGCACTTTGACTTCCACAAGTCGGCCGCTAAGTCGTCAGGACCAGTTGCTTTGCCTGATTTCATCTTCTTCAAAGCCGTATGGTCTCCTCTCACGGTTATCTTCTGAACGGGACCGTGTACTGGCGGAGCACAAGGGATGGCGGGATGAGCAAATTCGACTGTTGAGATGTTTTCGAAGTAGTCGTGCCATCGCTTCAATGTTTTCTTGCGGTCCGTCAAAAGGTGGCCATTCTCGTCATTTATGCCAAAGAACTTTTCTATATCCTCGGTCTGGCGATGGCGGGTCTTTGCAAGTCGGTAAACGTACCGTCGCGCGACTCGAGTTTTTCGTTGACATCAGCAAAATGAGCTGCTTTCGCGGAAGCAACGGCCTTCTTTGCCTCTTTCTTCGCTATCTGATAGCTCCGCCAGTTATCAGCTGTCTTTTCGTGAAGAAATGCGTGGTACCGCTTCTTCTTCTCGCGCACTTTCTCTCTGACCTGGTCCGTCCACAGCCACGTTTGCTTGTCAATTCTCCGCCGTCCAGGCTTCGTCATGCCGAGCTCGGATGTAATTTCGTGTTTGCAATGGCGGGATTATGCGAGTCTGCATATTCAAGAATTCGTTCGCCATCAGTATTACGTGACCCATAACCAAAACCACCATGACAGCTATAACCGTCTTTCGTAGCGCCCACGTGCCATTGAGGTCACCTGCAACAATTATGGCTTCTTGTGACGGTACCTCAGCTGTCTTCTCATCAAGCAGGTTCCAGAACTTGTCCTTGCTTGCTCGGAGCATCCAGTCTGCGGAGCGTACGCAGAGAAGAAGTGGTATTTTTGATGTTCGATGACGACAATGATCTTCATTAAGCGGTCGTCGAAGCGTTCCACGCTTACTATCGAATCACGGAAGCGTTCAGAGACAATCATCCCGACGCCATTGGTGGTTTTGGGACCGCCACAGAGAAGGGCTTTGAAGCCGCGGCCAATGTCACTCGAGCTTAGTTGCCCCTGATGCCGTCCTTGCATCGGGGACCCCAATATGAGGGAATCCGTCATCGGATGTTTTCTTGGCCTTGGTTGAAGCATAATAATTGTTTGACCATGGCAGTGTTGTTGGTTTCGTGTTATTCCTACAAATAGCAAATAAGAAGAATAAAATGACTTTATTTTTCAGCATGAAGACTGCTTTAATTCAGGTGTCATCACTGCCGGGAATTTGCTCCTGTTTACGTGAAGGTTGCCTCAAAAATCAATGTCCCTTCGGTGAAGATTAATTCAGAAGTGGAGAAGGAGCTGGCGAATCGCTATAAGATCAGAAGCTATCCGACACTGAAATTCTGGCACAAAGGAGAAGGACCGATGGACTTGGATTGTGCATATGAGCTAGAAGGTGACTTCATTTCTGAACTCTAAGTTGAGAGGGAATTATCTGCCGTTTTCATTTCACATGTGAGTTTATAAGCAGAATCAAGCAAAATCATGCCTCCCCAGGTTTTGCTGATTCTGCGAGCAGGTTCAGGGGGAATCGGTTTCGAGCCCAACCTACACTCATTTAGCACGAGCAATCTCTTTGCTCTCCCTTAGGGTCCATAGTAGAGTAACTACAGGCCACAGATCGCGCTTTCTATGGACCTGCAAAAAGTGGCGGAAAATTAACGGTCAGCTTACCAGTAACATCACCACATTGCGGACTTGTTTAGTTTCTGCTTTTAACATCAATATGGCTCCCTCTGATCTAAGCAAGAACATCCCTAGGTTTGAGCGTACGCCATTAGAAAGTTTTCCTTTGATCACTTTCTTACGAGTTGAATGGGAATGTTATCACTCTCTGAGGAAAATACAAGTTGGACCAAAATTATGGTAACCGCGCAAACCCACTTTTTTTCCGGATCTTTCCACCGTTCTCTTCCTTTCTGAGCGCGTGTGATAGAAGACAATGTCTCTTTTCCAATATCAAGCAGTTCTCAAAATTAGTGAAGTAATCACATCAGGGTATGCTAATCCTCAACTTTGACTTGGAAGGAATCAAGTGCGCATACGCTCCAACTGGCGATCGGTCAAACTTAACAAGAAAGCCTCTATGAGTAACGTTAACTCTTCAATAGCAGGAATCACTTTAGATGATAAAGAAGGATAGTCGAAGGCTAGAGTTACTATCAGGACAAATATCATGTGGAGAACCTCGCTCTCCTTCTTGTGGCTGAGAAAACTGATGATTTTGCTTGAACTCTCTTTTGACCCAATGTCTCTCATGAACAAGATCGTCTGCCTGATGTAGCGTTTACTTCGGCATATGCAGGCAGGATAAGGCTACCTAAGCATGATCAAGAATTTCGCAAAAAGGATATTTTAAGTTATGCCTGCCGAACAAATTTATGGCTAGGTAATCCCAGCACGATTCAGCTCGATTTTCTAGCCTACTTATACGCGCGGATGATCGAGCAACCCGTGAAACTGCAGAAAAAAAGTCTTCAGTGAGAGGACTACAGAACAAAAACTATTGACGGAAATCATTTTCACCACCGTCAGGTCCAAGAGGGGGACGGCCGTATCGGTCCTGTGGAAGCCACAGCCTTGAGCTCCCTTCACGGCATTCACTACGTCTTTCATCTGATACTCAGGTCTAAACTAGGGTCAACCGTTCCTTTGCACTATTCGAACAAGGGATCGCATCTGTCGTTTTCGAAGGGGGGGGGGCTGGAGGTGGCATATGGATTGAGTAAGGTCAAGTTACGTGCTTGGGAAGAATGTTGATGGGAAGCTGTAGTTCCGGGAGAGGGGATCGTTACCTTTTCACACCCCTCCCCCCCCCCCTTCCCGCTCGACGACCGTTTCAGAGAAAGTGTGAGGAAAGTTGGACTATGTCGCCTGGTGTCAGAATCACACTAGAAGCAGTCATGATGGCGAGGGTGGCGGTCGGTGGTCATTGGGGGAACCCTCCAAGGCTGATGTGCTGGTGGGGGTGAAAATCTAGAAGTGCGAACGCGACGGTCGGCCTCGCTTTAGACCTCAGTATCCACGTTCCTCATGCATAAATACTTGATAGCGATGCGTAAGTTCCACGACGTAACCAGTTAGTAGACCCTATTCCGATGCTTTTTGAAGAGACGCATGCACAAATTGATGTTTTTAAGAGATCGTGGAATGGGTCTTGACTCTTACCGATCCAAACTACGTACCACCTCCGTCGCCTGTGGTCACTCTCACCTCCGACAATTTTACTGAATACTTGGCCAAACAACCGCTTTGTCTGGTGAAATTCTACGCTCCGTGGTATTTTTTTAAATATTTCCTCGTAGAAATAGCTGTATATCCATAGGGTATTGATTCAGGTGCTGCAAAGGCTGGGACCGAGACTATAAAAGGGTAGCGAGAAAGCTAAGGGTAAGCGTGTTTTTCTTATTACAACTTACTTTGTATTTCAGATATCTTATGAAATAGTTGAAGAGGAGTAAAAAGAAATTAATTGATGCATTTCAATATCAGGATACTTCGATCAAACTTGCGAAAGTGGATGTTGAGGCAAATAAAAAATTTGCTCGAAAATATGTCTACGGGTTTCCCTCCTTAGTGGTCATGCGTTATGGAAGGAGGTAACGTTTATAATGTCACATTTTAAGTTTTCAGGCTTTTTAGGCGTTGTCTGGTCATACTTTATTAAGGTCGGAGTACAAGGGTCCTGACTATACATCTGGGATTATTGATCACATGAAGGAGTTGGCGGTTCCAGCTGTAAAGAAGCTTACCAGCGCTGATTCTATCAACAGGTACAATATGTTTGAATTCCAATTTTTCAATTTCCAATTTTTTGCTACAGTACTCTTTTTGTGAGTCCGCCTCGTTTTCGAGGCGTGTGCACTTTGATAATGGGAATTTTCTAGCCCCCCCCCCATAGAGAGCTCAATTAGGAAGTGGGTGCTGCTTGCAACCGGAGTCAACCATGCGTTGCGCAGTTCTCAACAGTCACTCTTGACCCTTTCCGGCTTGGGGTCATGGGCCTGGAGAAGGTAAAATGGTTGGGAAGGGGAGAGGTGGTGGTTTGCGGGTTCTTTACAATTGTGGTAGGAAACTGACAAAGTAAGGTTCGAAGTTATCAAAATTTCAAGGGGTTTGCCTCGTTTCTCGGCGGAAACGGGTGCGGCAGATATGCGGCCGTCTGGCTCCCGAATAAATATTCTAACAACACTCACGTTACGTTGAGTGATGGTGGTTCAAGAGGATGGGGAAGCGGCGGTCCGTATCGATGAGAACCCCTCTGCCTAACGCGCTGGTAGTGGCGGTCTCTCGCATTGAGCCTCGCAAAGAAGGGGGATTGCAAATGTTCAAATTGGACGACGGACAGTTTGGACCTCTCCTTGTTGAATTTATGAGCACTTTCGGTCACGAATTTTTAAAACTCAAAACCCCTTTTTTTTATTTTTTTTGTTTTTTTTCCAAAAAAAAACAAAATGAGCTTCTGGATGGCGTGTGGGGTATCCTGCCTTCTTTTGAAAGGCGAGCGTATTGTATGAAAAGCGCTCCATACAGAGCTTTCATGTCTTAGAGCGACTCAAATTTTAGATCTCAGTCAACTTTTCCAACATACAAGCAATATCCATTTCATCATCTCTACAATTGCAATCACGACTTATTGCAGCGAACAATCATTAGTGGTTACCTGTGCCTATTATATCTGTGGGCCTCTTGAGATGCTTCTGGAAACGCATTTTCCCGGCTTGTTGTGGTTATGGTCTCAAGTGACGACGTTGACTGCCTTGTAATTGGTTTGTATATTCGGTCTGTTCTGCTGGGGCTCCTGTAAAGAGTCTAGATAGACCCTTGATGGCTTGGCTTCCGATCTAGAGTCACGTTTTCTTCGAGAACACTTGAATTCGGTTGTTGTGGAGAGGACATACTCAGTGTTTCGGCGTGTAGTAGAGCTTCCTAACCATTCTTGTGTCGTTGATTACCGAAGACTTAATCTGTTACGCAGGCAGGGTGAATAACGGTCGAGGATTTCCTCGACCATAGCTCTCTACCATGTGAGAGTAGTGCCGAGAGTGAACATCCGCGCGGAGAGCACAGACGGCACGCCCATGGCGAGTGTGAATGTCCGCGCGAGAGATCGTGTCTGACCGGGCAGAGAATCCTCGACGTGCCGTTGAGGAATCCTCAAGCGATATTCACCCTGAGTTACAGGGTGCAGCAGGGCCTATCGTTGTTACTTTTCGAAAATTTTTTACGACCCCCCTCCCCCAAGGTGGATTTGATACGACCCCCTTTTCCCTACCTCCACCATCTCCATCTTCCATCAAAACCCCGCCCACTTTTTCCTCCAAAAATGCCGTCGAGCGGGGGGTATATACGCCCGCTGAAACGGCAAATTTTTATCCTGCGCGCCCTCCACTCGCCCAGCCTACTACCCACGAAATCTTAGTTTCACCTCAATCCCACACGTGATTTCGAGCGACTAAAGTGGGTACGACCCCCCCCCCCCCCCTCCAAGCTAAACCAAGTACGACCCCCCGTTGGTACTTGTACCAACGTAGGGTTGACCCTGGTCCAGCCATCCAGCAAGCCTGAGTGGCTTATTTGTGAGATGGCACCATGCTCTAGTCCGACATAATAGTTTTTCAGGTCCGTTTAAGCTTGACCAGCTGCTGGCGTTTTCGTAATTTGGTTAGAAGAGAGCCACAATTATCCGTCATTGGCAGTGGCGTCATGAATTGGAACTTTCTCGTCATTACATTGCGGGATCCTTGTCAAAGTTTCAACATTTTCTAGAAAGCTCGGTTAGCTTTTTGGCGCTCTTGTAAAGATACGGGGCAATACTCTGAACCAGTCCGATGAGCGCAATACTCCGTAGAAACTGAGAAGTTCTCGTAAATCCTGGAATCTCCTCCTTCGCTCGCTGGAATCTCCTCCTGTGCTCAAGGCTTGGTCTCATTTTTAACAAAAAGGAGATGTTCTACGCTGCATTGCCTGTATTGACACCAGAGTCCCGCATATATACCCGTGCGATAGCTCCAAGAATCTTTCAACTGTCTCGTCGTACCTGTAAAAAACACTTGTGATGATGGTCACAGCAGGAAGCTTATCTACGTGGGGTTGGTCCAATGGTGAGAGAGCTCAGCAAGTCCAAATCCAACAATTGCTTCCCTGGACCAGGATTTTCTCCAGACTGTGGTTTCCGGAGCATTCTGGACCGCATTGGGTCGCTTTCCACAGCATTATACCCCAGTAGGTCATAAAAGCGTAGAACACATGGCTCGCTTTTGCTTCATTTTGAGCTCAAAGAAATAAATCACGGCGGTCGCGAATCATTCATGTCCCAATGTGCTGCTCTTTATAGCACACAGACAGATACAGAGAAAATTGGAAAAAAAAAACTTTGAAAAATTTAGTTGTGTACAGAATAAAAAGCAATCAAACAAAATTAAACTACCTAAGATGTGGTGTGGGGGCGGAAGTGGTGTAGTGGCAAGTGGCACGCTTCACCACGCGAGCGGTCCGGGGATCAAATCCTGGGTCGTGAGTCGCCCGGGCCAACCAAGCCTTCCCCCTCCGGGGTCGGTTAATTGGTACCAGACTTGTCTGGGAGGATAAAAACACTGACTTGTACATCGGCTGGCCCCCGCAAGTCATTGTATAGGCCACATCGCATTCAAACGCCACTACGAATGTACAAATGGAAGTAGAATGCGTGCCGCATCCCAAAAAGGGATTGATCAACGGCAAATGCTTTATCCTTTTATCCTTTAATTGTGGTGCAAATCCAAAAGGCACGCAGAAAATTTTGAAACTCTCTAGTGGTAGAATGCGCATTGGGAATATTATTTTTTCACAGAGAAAAATCGGATTTCAGACAGGAGGCACGTCGAACGGCGAGATGCAGAGAGATGAGTCGCAGCAGGGTCAACCCTGCGTTGCGCAGTTCTCAACGGCCACGTTGCGCAGTTTCGCCCGATTAGACACGTTCTCTCGCGCGAACATTCACACTCGCATGCTCGAGCCGTCTGCGTGTCCGCCCATACAGCGTGCGTTGAGGATCTCTCAACGTGCCGTTGCGAACTGCGCAACGCAGGGTTGACTCTGGTCGCAGCGCGTGCTGCTGGCGATTCAGAGTCAAGTTTGATGGAATGAACTATATTACGCCCCACAGCACGCGAAGGACTCGTCCGCTGACCCGTCTTGCCCTTGTCTCCGTGCGACGGACCTAATGTCTGATACACGAAAATTCATGAGGGAGCAAGTATTGGAGTTGAAATATTGAAAGAACCCAAAGTACATCTCTGGACAACGTTCTCACTTTGCCTCGAAGGAATAGTCCTAGAATAGCGCTCAAGAATAGAGAAAGTAGAGTAAGCAGGGTCAACCGTCCATTGGCGCCATGTCCAACGATCGGGGTCGTTTTCGGATGCCCGAAGGGAAGGGGGGGGCGGAGGGCTGTGAGCAAGTCGATTTTGAACTCTTCCTTTTCTAGTTCCATGGAAAAGCAAGATATTACGATTGTGGCATTCTTTGTAGACGAAGATTCGACAGCTCAAGCTTATAGCAGCGGCAGAAACTACTTAGCGGGACCCCGCGCGTCGTGCTTCCCACTCCTAAAACAATGATAAGATATCCCCTGAAATTTCTTTTTTTATCCCTTTATTTTTTAGCGATTTCAGTCTATGCGTGAAGCATAGTATATACCAACCGTATAAAGGATATAATTAGCTAAGAGAGAACGGTTCCGCAGACAATTCTGAAGGTGACGAAAAGCACCTATGAGTATCATCTGTTGTATCATCCATGTTCCTCAAGTAATTTGACAAACAAGCATATGAAATATATGACTAGGCAGCGTATCGATCTAACGAGCTCTGATACATTATACCTAGAGATTTAGTCCCAAGTTTAACTATTCGAAAAATTTCGCTATAGCGATTTTTAGCCAGATGCTACGCCAGAAGAAATGGCTTCATTCATTCGTGATCACTGCACCCCTTTCGTGGGCAAAAGGACTATGGTTGTTTTCATTGCTTTGCCTATTCGAGTTACCGTCAATGAGACCTTGCTTGTCAGGAAAACGTCGCTACTCGGTATAACAAGCTACCTTTGGTGGTTGTCTACTACAATGCTGATTTCTCATTGCAATACAGAGAAGGAAGCGAGTACTGGCGTCAAAAAGTAATAAACATTGCTCAAAAGGTTCATTTTCTTCCTTCTTCCATATTTAGTTTCGGTCACTTTAATTTTTACCCATATTTAACTTCCCATAAATCTTTGCCCATAAATCAAGCAATAAGTGTACTCCCTTTCAAAAAAAGACGAGAAGAGCGTCGGGTGCAGTCTATGCACCAGAAGTGACGACGTTCTCTACCAAATGTAAATGCTTTCTGTCGTCACTTTCGGTGTGTGGTCTGCACCCGACGCTCTTCTAGTTTATTGGAAGGGAGGTAATTGAAGCTTCAAGCGTCAATATCAGCATAATATAAACCTGCTTTCAGTACAAGGACAAGTATCACTTCGCGATCGCCGACGAAGAAGAGTTTGAAGATGAACTGAGAAAGGCAGGATTAGGTAGAGATGCAATGAAAGAAAGGAAACATTGGTTTACTGCAACTTCGGTTCACTCTTTTCAGTGGTTTCCCTTATGTCTGCCAAGCTTGCTCTTATTCTGCATTTTTCCTTTCTCTTTTTGTCAACTTTGTGGCGAGGTATGCCGACTCCAGCATCAGGAAGTCCTCCACTCCCTGATGCTCCCCTGGAGACGGTGTAGTATAGCGATTGTAGTTGCGTTGTACTGTTACATGGAATCCTATTTTCTCAATGCATTTCACCGCGGGTCCCTGTGTATACGACCCCCTCCCCTTTCGTTCGGCCAAATACGACCCCCTCGTTGTTCTTTGCGCAACGGGCGGTTGACACTGCTCCAGGATCAAACTCCTTCTTGCACATGAATATTCAAGATCACTGGAATATTTAAGATGGGCTCGAAACGCTCAAATGGGGGACTTGCTCACCTTCGTGATGCAGCGTGCCAAGGCAGCGGGGACCGATCACGGAGAGGAGAGTAAGAGGCGGGAGAGCGCAACAGATGAGAGGGCGCCAGACCACAACCTGCTGCGGACGCGGGAAACTGAAGCTGTTGAAGCGATTTTTGCACGGCCCTATTGCCCTTGTAGGGCAATGTTCATGCACGAGGGTGGTAAATCTACTATTGCCCTGCAGGTGTTTATCCTTCAGACCAAAGGGACAGTACAGCATTTGATAGTCGGGTTCAATATGAGATGCTTAACCGAAGAAAGAAGTGTTCTCGTAGGTCCTATTCCGAAGGATCCACGCACACATGTACTCTTCCATTCATAGTTGTAACAGCATTTGAAAGCAACTTGAGAATGCGACCACTCTACAATAGAAGGTCCCGCGTTTGTCGTGTGACCTCACCTCCCACCATAGCCGTTATGTAAAAACCAGCTGAAAACGATTGCAGTCTATCGAAAGAAGGACTATTTCGTGATAGCAGTGAATTATTGCTAGGCTCTGAGATTCTTCAAAAAACGATCGTGCTTATTAAGGTGATTCCTGGACTTGAGCACAACGTTATCGTGTTTGGAAAAGATGGCAAAAAGTACACTATGAATCCTAAGGAGTTTGACGGAGATTTTGAGGAGAACTTCGAAGAATTCATGATGAAAATGAGCACCGGTGAGATAAGGTGGCTTTTCAGCCACCTTTCAGGAACGCATTTGGACATTTTTTTTCTTTCAGGGGAACTTGAACCTAACGTCACATCAGCGCCTGTGCCACGCAACAACAAGGCACCTGTACGAATCTTGGTAGCAGAAAACTTTCCGTAAGGTTTGGAAACAGGGAGCACATCTATCGCAAGATACGGTGGCGTCCTCTACGACTAAGCCCTCTAGTTAGAGGCAGTACTTCGAGGGAAAGTTATAACGTGACAATTAATTCTGAGTTTCTGCATCCCCGCCTTCAGCATAGTCTGGTCTTGAAAAAGAACTGAGACTAAATTAAAATAAATAAATGGATAAATGGTACTTTAGGTGGGATTTAATGCATTGCTACGCGAGTGATTCCGTACCTTGGCGATTAGCGTCGTTTTTGTTCCTTACAAGCCGCCCTCTTACACTTCCTTGATGCTTCGTAATCATCCAATTAAGGCCAATGTGAGACTTTGCGAATCGAGCGATTCGCTAGCGTTTGCGGTCGCGTTGCGGTAGCAGTCAATCGAGCGCTTCGCTGAACGCGACGCGACCGGACGTTAGCGAATCGATCGATTCGCAAAGTTTGACATCGGTCTAACTAAGAAGTTTCGATTCATCGTAGGTTGTGATTTTACCGAGGCAAAGGGGAAATTTTGGGTGGGGGGTATGACGCATTTACACTCCATTTAAATGTGGTGCTTGCGCGGTATTCTGGTTGATGTATTAGCAAAAATCAAGGGAAAACCTAAGGGTTTTCCTTCGTTCAGGTCTTCGCACCGAAGTATAGAGAACTGGCGATCAAGCTGAAAAAAACGCAACCAAATCTCATTCTTGCCAAATTTGATGCAACCGCTAACGATGTTCCTCCAGGATTTCCTACACCATCATTTCCTACCTTTTATTTTGTTCCCGGTGGTAAGAAGGTAAGCTACGTCCTCGGCTTTATACCGGGTTTCAACTGAAGGTTGCTGGTTTAGTCGAGTCCAATCAAATACGCAGGAAATCGTGAAGAGGAAGACCTCATCAAGTTTATGGAGCTGCATGCAGTGAAATCTTTCCGAAAGGAGGAGAAGAAGGAGAAGAAGGAGAAGAAGGAGAAGGAAGAGCTTTAAAAGAAGGCTTCATTTCTATACTGTTTGGAATTGTTTTCTACTCACTGTCTCCGTCCAGCGTTTGCTGCACTACTTTTGTTTTCTTTCGTCTCCCTGTTATTTGTTTCACAAGTAAAAGCTTCAACGGATGTTGGAGGAATTTGGGTAATGTATGACGTTTGGGTTATTCGCAGGCAGCGAAGTTTTTGACAGTGTGCAGTACCTTTAGGCCTTCATTCATGAGGTAAATGGTACGAGCAAGGTACGTACCTTCCGTTTCCGAAAACCAGATGAGTGCAGACCACACACCACAAGTGACGACGGCCTCCAAGTAAATCTGGTTAGTAGTGGTTCATAGTGATAGCTGATTTTTGGTAAATGATAGTTGTAATTAGTGACAACTGATAGAATACAACTAGGCTAATCATTTCATTGGCAGAAAACATTTACATTTTGTGAAGGCTGTCGTCACTTGTGGTGTGTGGTCTGCATTCGATTTTCTTCGGTTTTGGTTTTCAGAAGCAGAGGGTATGTCAAGTGCCTGTTCTGTTTTTTTTTTCTTTTTGGCAGGGTCTCATTGAATATGTGTATAAATATGATTGTTGATGAAGTTTCCATTATGTGGTGTTTTTCTGAAGGATTTACGCTGCCATATAATTTTGACCCAATTTTTGACCGTCAAAGACAAACAGTTTCCAAAATAAAACAACTTGCTCAGCTTTCCCTACCTTTAGGAACTTTAAGGATAGCCCTTCATAGGCGCTTTTCACGATGAAAAGGCAACCCATTCGGAAATTAATTAGAGATGGTCAGTGATGCACGAAAGAAGAAAAACCGAGAAAAATGGCCAGAACCCGAGAAATGGGACCCCTTCCTTGCCCGTTGATTTGCGCATTGATGCGACTCTCATCGGTGCTGCCCTCTTCAACGCTAACGCTCTCTCTGCTAAACGGCTAGAGACTCAGACACGAGACGACGCGAGAGGGGGCGTACCGCGCCAACAGAGCACCAGTAGCGCCGCGAGGAAGGCCATGCTAGATCACCGAGGGCATATCCTTTGATGCGGGTTGTGTGTCGGTTTACACCCTTAAGAGGTCCGCGTGTCTGTTCACCCAAGACTGTTTCATTCGCTCCACCTCGTCCTTTATCATAGAAATCCCCTCGCAACTGAACGGACCTGCTTACCAGTTGGGAGTTTTTAGGACCCCAGTAGTCTGCGAATCTAAACACTTTAATCGAGACATATTCAATTTTTCCAACTCACCTTTTCTTCCAACCATCTCGTTTGCTGACCATATAATATTCTAGTCTTTCCGATCAAAATGCTCCTTTCACCATCGACTAATCTCCTAATCTTCTAAATAGGGGAATGTGAACGCAGCCTAAAAGACACTTGCGCCAAGGCAAGAAGCGGACTTTTTTCGAAAACGGGAAATAGCATGAATTCATGGAAATCTCCATGATTCGTCAGCGGAGAGTGTGTCATTAATCACTGAAAATGATCTGTTGAACCAAATGAACTGCTTCCAAAATTTTGTTAGTATAAGATAAAAATGCTAAAAACTCTGATAAGCAACTAATTCGTAAATGTTGGGGTACAACTCTTCAGCTGCAGTCAACGACCCGTGAGTGGTCGGTTGCAGCGCTGCCTTTACAACTTATTGCCTTCACCCCACTAGCCTACACAGAAAAGCACACGTGAGTTCCATTCTATGTCTAATGAACAAGTGGATAGAGGTGAGCTCCTGAAGTCCTGTGAGGGAGTGCCACTTGACGCAATCCCGTCCAGGTACTCTGACTGGTTATGAGCGTGCCTATTACCACAGCCAATGGGCCACTGTCGCAAGATGCGGGGCATCCTCTAACCTAAAGTTAATTGGTAACAGGTTCATAGCAGGGGGCAGAAACTCTTATCAAAACCCCCGCGGCACTGATGTTCTTGGGGGCGGGGAGGACATCCAAAACAGGACCGATAGTGGGTGACACTATGGCTAAGCCCAGGAGAGGGGAGAAATGCTGGGAAGAACACAAATTGCTTACATACTCCTCGAAAATATCCTCTCCTCCCTGAAGCTTGTTGTTAGATCCAAGCACTCTGAGTGGCTTCCCCATTTAGATATCCCCTCTAACGACATGAGCACAATCCCCGTCCGAGGCTTGATCCCGTTTTTAACAAAGGATATGCTTTACGCGTTCAAGTGCATTGCTATCACAATGCCCCCCCCCTATCTTGCGATAGCGCACTGTGAAATTATTGAGCTTTTTTCTACCGAATGTTCACCTGGTAGGCGTTTTCAGTACAGCAGTGTCCTCATCATTGTTGATCTTTTCAGCTGTACGTACCTCCAAGTGATGTGTTTCAATAGAAAAAAGACCTCGGACCAAGGCAAGGTCTGTCCAAAAAGTCAAAGGACTTCTAGAGTGAAGTTTAAGAAGGAAGATGATGTTTATGTTCTGACTGAGAAAAATTTCGACGATTTCCTCAATACACACCCCACATTTCTTGCAGATTTTTATTCACCAACGTGAGTTTACAAGGTCTATCGGTTGCTCATATATGTGTAAAGCGCTATACTAATAAAGAGGGGCAGGTGGGAGAATATTGTGGGAAAGCTCGTGCGGATTACGGTAATCCCAATTTTGAAATAGGGATACTTCGAAACTATCATCAGCTGGTTAATCCTTTGTCGGTCGTTCGTGCCAAAGTCTTTCTTGGCGCTTATGTTCTTGGGGGGGGGAGGACATTCAAAGCAGGGCCTTCAAAAGCCGTTGGCAGGTGACATCAGGACTAAGCAAGAGAGGGGAGGAATTGCCAAGGAGAACAAAAATTGCTGGCATGCTCTCTCAGAAACCCTTCCCTTCCCTAAAGCGTAATTCCTGATACTGTGAGTGGCTCACGAGAAACTTTAATGACCCACCTTTCCCCCCCCCCCCCAGGAAATGAGCTCCCATTCCTTCATTTAATTCACGATTGAATGGTGCGATGAAAACAGCTGTGAGCTATGAGATGAGAAAAGTTTCTTCAGACACGTGGGAGGGAGCTACCTTGAAGAAGGGGTTTCTCACATTGTGATAAGTGATTCACTAAACCAAGCTTTCTGAAAATCGAGCAAAAAGTCGTCTAGACGAGTGGCTTTGGGTGCACTGCTTTAAATACATCCCCCTGTAACCTGTGAACTGTTCAAAAGTCTACGGAGCTTCATGACTGGACGGGTAAGCTAACTGGTGCTCTTGTTTCATTCGACTTAAAGGCAAAGGTCGGGCTCAGACACGCTAGAGAAGTAATTCCCGTGCCTGGAGGTTGTATGTGGGTAGCTGCACACATTGCAGCAACTTTCCACCTTGAAAAACGTCGTTAAGCCCCCGGGGCCGTCGGTTTCAATCCGGGACCGCCTCGTCAATCCGGGACCGCCACCTCCGGAAGTGGTGCGTGGCTGGCATAACGTGTGAAACAGCTAGGTTGATTGCCGTATCAACCGATAGAACGACTGACATCTCCAGAAAACTTGTTTGTACGTGCCTCTTCCCCAAGACAGCCTCCTTCTGCTAGTGGGAAAGAGGTTTTGTAACGGCCTTGTCGACGGTTTTTCTCAGTTTTTTCTCCACTGTCGTTCCACTTCGCATCTCTATACTCAGTTTCAATCGCCATAAACCCCCTTATTGAGCCCGACTTTTGCCTTTTTAAGCCAATGCTGATGGATATTTGATCCTATACGAAGTTATACGATGAAAAGCTGCTTCCCTGAGTTTCTCAGGAGGGACCCGAAAAGTCAAAACTCTGAACTGCTTCAAGGCGTGCTTCTTCAGTGCTCACCAGAAATGAGAACAGATGGTTCCTTTCATAATAGGAAAGACCGCTAGGGCCCCTAGACAGCGTGTTGACGAAATCAACATATTTCGGCAAGAATGGCAAGGTTTTGAAAAAGGCATAATCATGAATAAAGATACAATCTCTTTGGGACTTCATGGCCTTAAGAAGGCCGATCTGACTTTGGAACTTAGGCCAGGAAAGGGAAGGAACGCCGAGGGGTGGAACACAAGATTGATCACCTGCTCACCCGGGAATTCCTTCCCCTCCTAGCCCCTACCCCTCCCCAATGACATGAGCGCGATTTCCGTATGTGGAGATATTTGCAAGTTAAAGCCAGCACCAGCTTACCCGCAGAAACTGATTTGTTACCGGCGCATCTGGTATATGAATGAACCGATGGACGAAGGTGGGGGAGGGTTGTAGTTCGTGTCGCTAACAATCGTGCTAATTTTTGCAGAGAGACAAATGTCTTGAGTAGGTGTGAAAGGGTAAGCGAAAAGGTTTGCGCAACCTGCAGCTTTCTTCTGGCAGCAGTAGGAGTTAGAATGGGCGGCACGAATAACAGCACCATAGGCCCTCCTAATTCGGTACGCAGACCCAAATATGATTCGTAATCTCTAAAAACATATGATTCTAGGTGTGTCCATTGCAAGAACCTTGCCCCAAATTATTCAAAAGCGGCTACACTTGTGTCCATTCCACTTGTCAAAATCGACGGCACCGTTGAGAAAAATCTCGCGGATCGATTTGAAGTCACTGGTTATCCAACTCTACTGTTTTGGAAGGATGGAAATAAACCAATACCCTATGACGGCGGAAGAGAGGTCGATGGTGAGTGTTTCTTTCCCTTTTTTCCATTTGATTTGATTTACCGATATATGAAAAGCAAAACGACTAGTCTATGCTAATCACCACTCCATAATAAAATCATATTGTTTAAGAAATCGTCAGCTGGATTCAATCACATACAAGCTCGAAAGATGACGCCGTTGTTGTTCTTACTACTGCCAATTTTGACCAATTCGTGAATGAGCACGGACTCTGTCTTGTGGACTTCTACGCTCCCTGGTATGAATTGTCATTTCTGACGAACAGCTTTACCCTTTTTATGGAGTTCTAAGTTAATTCAAAGACAAAAGGAAGACAAAGAGAGAGGCTAAAAGAGAAAGATGAGTAATAGGAAAGCAGATGAATGTTCCAGTAGAGGTTAGGTTGCACTGCGCAGTGGAAGGCGGGTTATCATCATCATGATAAGGCGCCGAACGTGTTTCAAAAGCGGTGGGCGTGCCCGGAACCACCGGTTCCCAGGCACGCCCACCGCGCGCAGGGTGGAAGGGACGATAGCGACAATTTAATTGAAATAAGGCCGCTACCGCCATCGTTATATTTCCTTTCTAAGAACACTGTTGTACCAGCCACCGAAGCAACAACAGCCTATCGACATCCGTTGGTATGGCTCCATTTCGAACTTCACTCGAACTACCTCAGGGGTGAAATCGTCCGCCGCCGAAATCAACGGGCGCAAATGAGTCCAATTTATCCCGTTTCTCATCCTTTCCCAAAATATCTTTCTACAGACACACCATTAAGCACCCTCGTTTTCATACATGGGCAGAGATAAATAGCGTGACTTCCACTCGCAGGGTCAAACCTCGGATCATTTTTTGGTCAGGCAAACCAACCCTCCCATACTTCGGGATGTCAATACCCCAGAACATTTGAGAGGGATAGGGTTGAGGAGGGGTAACAAAAATTAAAAAATTAATTAAAAAAAAAGACAAAAATTAACTTGTAAATCCGACATAACCGGACATTAGCCTTTTAGCAGAGCAAGCGTTAGCGTTAAAGCAACAGTT